GGGTTAAATGGCATATCTAATCGATATTAGTGAGTTTATAATGATCTCAGTTATAGTAGTTATTGAAACATTGAGGTAGAATGTTATAATGATGGATGTTAGTTATAGTAATATTCATTATGAATTAAAAAAGAAACAAAATTTGCTTGAATTTTAGGATAAGCGTAAGTTTTTCCGGTGTTTGCGTAAGACCGTCAGATTTGATTGGAATGCGTAGGACTTACGGCGAATGCGTACGGGTTGACAGGTCTGCATGCTACCTACCCTGGAAGATCAGACTTAGGCCAACTAGTTTTCAATTAAGTAAATTATACACACTGTTTTTGGTTCGCAGTCGTAATAATTTATGTACGAAAGTGCGTTCTTCAGGCCTATCGGTTCATCGATCCATGGAAGAAAGACTACATATTTAACTACTCAATGTTGTTGGAAAATAATAATATATTGCCTGTCTTTGATTTTTTCCCTCTATGATAGGCCTAAAGAATGAGATAAAATTACCTGACCTTTTTTCAAGAGGGAGAAAACCTTTAATTTTGAAGAACTTAAAGGTCATCAAAAGACTCCTCAGGAGTCGGGAAAGCTCATTTCCGGCCATCTAAGAATCAACATTTTCCCGGGGGAAGACCCCCCCCGTTGATTTTGGGATTATTTGGAAACATTTTGAACCCTCCTCTTGTAAATCCTGGATCCGCCTCTAAACACCTCAGCCCCAACATGGTTGGAAAATTTATGATTATGGCACCTCTCATGGCAGAAAATAGCACTCTTATATTTAAACTAAAATAAAGATACATTTAGTAAAATCTAGAAAGAAGATGGGTTTGTAAGCGGTGAGTCATTGACACTCAACGTACAAGAGTGTGTCTTGAATTTTCTACCCCTGAAAATGTGGACTTCTGGTAATTTGGGTGGGTGGGTGCGTACGCACCCGTCGCAACCCCACCCCACCCCCACCCCGTGTACGGGCCTGAATTCAGTGTGTATTTTAATGTTTTAACTTCGTTCAACAACCATTGTAAAATGTCATTTAAATAATTAATTTTAGATAATATATTTGTATATATCCTAAGTTTTTAATTCTAATTATTAATTTTACCTAATTAATAATTTTAAAAAAATTCTTATTAGTAATAATTGAAATGCATGCAATGCATTTAAGTGACAATTTGGTGATGTTTTTTGACGAAGTAATTGGTGATTAAGAGTGCATTTTTATAAATTGTGTAAGTCTTGTAAGTTCAACGTTTTCAGCCTTCAGGCTGCTCGTGCATGTTTTATACTTTAATAAATAAATTCTAAATAAAAATATTAATAACAGGTAATAATGAGTCAGTTCTCTGAGACAGGGATTATAGGTAATCATACACAAGCATTCTACACTAATTTCGGGATGTTGAATCTTTCTGCAATTATCTGCTAGATATTTTAAAAATGTACCAGGTATTCGTTTAACTCCCTGGTGGAAGGAGCAATGCAGATAAAGATTGTTAATCAACGACGACTAACCAATATTAATGCCAGCCTAATATTTAATACATGAATATAGCAACATGGTCGTCTCACCATCAATCAAAAACCGTCTACTTCATATGTGCGTTATATTAACACAATGCTACATTATGCAACAAAACACAATTATTGATTGAAACCAAGATGAGGTGGTCCATTTGTCAACCATTTTTACCTAATCTACATGTTCCGTAGATAATTAGGCATGTTTCGAGCTGTGTATATAGAAAACAGCAAGTAATTTAGTCGTGAAAAAAAAAATTCTGGTGTTGTGTAGGATTTTATTCCAGGACGTGGAATTGGACTGCACCACACTCTACAGATCAAAGATTTATCAAATATCGAAATAAAATTTAACCTTGATAATAGTAAAATAAATCACAAAAAAGTGGATGGTAAATTTATTTATTTATAATATATATATGTA